AGAAAGGGAAAATTTCGGGTATGTATGAGACAGTAACGTAAGAATGTTGGGATGCTTAGAAAAAAAATATCACAGATATTTTGTACATTTGCATTTTCTATCCTCTAGTATACTCCTTTCTGCTGCCTTGAAGGTTGATATTTGTTATACAAAACAAGAAAAAGGGCCACAGCATGGCTCAAAGCTGATAGATGGGAAAACAGTAGAAGTGTACGAAGACACGTATTTTTGAAAAAATCATAAAATGGTTAAAGGAAGTTTCAAAACAGAAGAAAATTTCTAGACTTCAAGATCATATAAACCATATCAGAAAATAACCATGAAGAATCCACATCTACTGACTTCTTTTAGAGAACAACCATCAAACTGAAGATATTGCTCCTGGTTGATGTCAAAATGGTCAAAAGGTTATGTACAGGACACATTTTGTGTTAGTTAAAAATTTGTCAATCTTTTTAGAAATGTTTGTTTGCACATCCTAACCGACCCCGATGACAGCTTATTAATGAATGCTATCACCTGTATCCCTGCACATTTTTTTTTGTTTTGACCCCTGTTACAGGCATTTTTCCACAATGTGTGAGTTTTCTTGACACCCCATATATATATATATATATATATATATATATATATATATATATATATATATATATATATATATGTATTATTATATATATATATGTATATATATATATATATATATATATATATATATATATACATAAATAAATATATATATATAATTTATAATATATATATATAATAATATATAATATATATAATATATAATAATATATATATATATATTTTTTCTTTCTTTCTTTCTTCTCCAAAGACAATTAGGAAGACTTTAATATTCAAATTAAGAGCAGTTTTTCTGCATACAAGATAAGAATATCAGAAAAAGCGTATCCTACATGTTGGGATGAGAAATGAATTTCATGCTATTAACCTTTTCTATGTGGGGTACATGTACTGTCTACTCTATTTTTCTGTGAAATTTGTTACAGGTGGCTCCACAAGTACTCAGTCACTAAGTAGTGAATAGTAGGCTAGACATGACCTTACCTGAATTCCCCTTTTTCTTGAAATTGGAATTTTTTTTTCCTGATATGATTATGAATAATAATGATAATAATAATAATAATATTATTATTATTATTATTATATTATTATTATTATATTATTATTATTATTATTATATTATTATTATTATTATTATTACTACTACTACTACTACTACTACTACTACTACTACTACTACTACTACTACTACTACTACTACTACTACTACTACTACTACTACACTACTACTACTACTACTACTACACTACTACTACTACTACTATACTACACTACTACTACTACTACTATTATTATTATTATTATTACTATTATTTACTTACTATTACTATACTATTACTATTACTATTACTATTACTATTACTATTACTATTACTATTACTATTACTATTATTATTAGTTATTTTTAATTATTAATTATTATTTATTATTGATTATTAATATAATGATTATGATAATTATTAACCCATTACTGCCGGTATATTTTCAAGCTGAAAATAAAAGTCTCCGGGTGGCTGCTGAGTTGGAGCGCGAGCCCCGATACAGTGTCACACTGGTGGAACGCCTGACAATTTTTTTTTTTTTTCGGGTCTCTCATATGTGGGACACCAGTCGTATCTGGGTTAATATTGTTATTATTGACATTATGATTATTAGGTTATTTGATTACTACCATCAACAAAAGATAAAAAGGAATCTCTGAAAATGAAGGAAAAAGATAAACTGTTGAGATAGGTAGGAATAAGAATTGACTCCTTGGTGACGTAAGTACTGGTGGAGGCATGTATGTATAATATTAATAGATTTAGATCACTGTAGGCATGGCATGTATTGTCATTCTGCCAAAGGGTCAAATATTTTTCCAAGAGGATTAGTTAAAGGAAAAGCAAGAAAGGCATTTGTAGTTTTATATTAATTGTTTGTTGCTTTGATTTCCAGGACTAAAGACAAATTCATCCGTGTGAACCATGACGACTTCTTTAGCAACGAGCAGCACATTCTCAGTAATCTGCCAACCAAAGCAGAGAAAATGTGCCGTTACGACATGGACGATCTTGATGACAAATGGCTCATAGCCTACAATGGAGAGAGAGCAAGAATGGGTAAGTAGGAAAACTATTGCTGTTTAAGGCTAGTAATTTTCCGCTCTCACTTTTTTTCTGTATTGATCAGTATTAATTAAGGAAAAATCATTTTTTTTACCAGAAATTTTCCCTGCATGATGATGCACATGTAAAAATGTGAGATTCCTCCCCCCCCCCTCTTCTGTTGTGGTCATTATGCTCTTTGTAAAATGGGCAGTGTGTATTTTTTTAGCTATTTGTTATCAATACATGAATTGAATTTGAAGGTAGAGAGACACAATTTTACTTTCACTATGGTTATTACATTCACTATAAACCACCCAGTACATTTTTTGAGCATGTGGCATTGATAGACCTTCAAGTGCATAAATTTAAATATTGAATTATGGAAACTAAAATTTTCGGAGTAATTGAAGGGTTGTCAGTGTTTGTTATCACAAGACATAAAGCTGGTATTGTTAGAGAGACTTTCACAGGACTTCATGTTAGTATTTAAAATGCAAACTTTGTGAAGTGGGTTGGCTCTGCATATTATAGGGCTTGTTGAATTCAGAGACTGTGAAACTAATTTTGATCACTGTTAATGAAGATTGGAACTATAATTATGCTATTGTGATGTGCTGTCCTTTGTAGATGAGCTATGACTGGCATTAACTATACTCTGTAGTAGGCAATTGCAGAAGCAAACTTCCCACTGTATCCACCACAGCAGAATAAGAATAGATATTTGAGAACAAATCCCCTTTGCTGATGCAAAATTAGACATGACAGCAGCAGTCAAATTGAATGTTTCTTTTTATTGGACTGCTGCTGCTCTGTTGTCATATGTTTATTTGCAAATGCCCTTTGCACTACATCATACCTTCTGCAGAGATTGGGTTGCCTTAAGCACACATGGTATCCTGTTAGCCTCAGTAACTCTCCATTTGACAAGAAAATAGTAGCCTTGCAGTGCTACAATGCTCAAAGGAATGCAAGGTTGCAGAAGGTAACTTCACTTGGAGAGATGAAGTTGTCTCCTTGCCTAAGGAAATCCTTGCTTTAGACTTACTAAAAGAAACTGGATCATCAGTTATATTCTAGAACTGTAAAGGATTGTTGTTATTTAAGGAACTTCGAGAAGGTTTAAGCAAGGTTTTACTCAAAAGAAATAATTGTAGTATCAATAAGAAAATATATATATGTAAGTATTATCAATGTTTTTAGACCATGTAATCAATCCTACATTGCTGATATAGCTACTTATGAAACGGGTGCCATGGCTGTTGTGGACCGAAAATCGGCATTGTAAAGATGGCATTGTATCATGCCCATTTCGCTCGCTAACTACCGATTGAGCTAGGCGCAAACAGAGGAAACTGCCGATGCATACCAACAATCCCGTTTTTGCATCCACTTGCCAAACATTTTTACCTGTCAGCACTGGGTTAACATTATGAGGATAGTTTTGCTTTTTTTCCTCCAATTTTTTTACTTGACTGATTGCTTTTTACTTTTGCCTATACAAGACCGTAATCTCAAATATTTTGATTTGAGATTTTGAAAAATGTCCTTTGCAAAAAGATCTTAAATTACCTGTTTTAGTTCTGTTTGCCATTATTGTATGGAGTAGTGGAAAAGGTTGAAAAAAATCATAAACTCAATAGATATGTTTTGTGTCTAACAGTATATCAAGTGTAGCACTGTGCAATATGTATTCTCATATTTCCTGGAAAGTAATGTTCTCATACATCTCTCTGATCAGCAAATGCATTCATATTAATGACAAAATGACCTTATTTTATGAAAATATAACTATACTCTATGCAGTACATATATCAGATGTACAGTTAATAACCATCTCGCTAACAAAGCCTAAAATTTGATGTTTCTCGGATGTAATTTTGAAGAGATTATTCCCCCCTCCAAATTTCCAAGTAATGAAAAGTGGAAGGCTGCTTAAAAAAAGAGAAAAGGAAAAAAAAATGAAACAACTAAAGAATATTAATATCTTGCCTTCTTAGAAAAGGTTTGGTCTTCGCACTGGGGAATTATGAGACCAGTATGAGCCTGGGATTTGTTTACAAAGCAAAGGCTTGCATTTTTGGTATCATTTAGTTTGAAGGGTTAGTAAATGAATAAGCTTTTCCCTATCTTCAGTTGGAGTTCTATACAATAAATTTCCTTTAGAGATGCTGGAATTCACTCAATAAGCAAATATTATTGATGTTTATACCATGTTCTTCCACCTCTGGCCTCTCTGCTTGGAGAAAATGTTTGACACTGAAAGGAATATTATGCATATATGAGATTGTAACGTAGAGCGAGAGTAGAAACTATTGCTTATTGCTGTGATCAATGCTTGCTTTTCCCAACACCTGTCCACATGCCTCCTGAGCTCTTTTCTCTATCTTGTTTATATTGTACTTTGTATTCTTTTTACATGTGTATTTTTAAAAGATAACCTCTTTTGCATGCTTCAAAGGTTAATGAATAGGGTAAAAGATCAAACTGCTATTGCATTGATTAGTCCACCAAATTGTTTGATCTTGTACAGGAGTTTTCTTCATTATGTGGAATGTTGTGAATACAGTGTATCTGTATATTGACATTGCTTTTAACCCACTCACTCATGATAGCATCTTATGTTGTGACAAAACTGTCACTCCTACTGGGTGATGTTCTATTATATCTCAAGGGGTTGTACTTGCTCTTGTATGTATTTGTAAAAATTAGTTTACTTCTGTAGGATTGGCTGAAGTCATTGTGTAAAAACAGCCTTTCAAAAATAGTCTTAAGGCCTCTTTTTAGCCTTAACTAATGAGTCCATGGGCATTGATTTTTTTTTTTTTTGTAAAAAATGAATGACATATTCCAAAACCAACACTTTCATTGGAAAATGTGCAATATCTCTTGCAGATAAAACCTATTGCTTTACAAAAGTTCCATTGCATCTAAGCACCCACTTTTTTTGATGAACTGATATTTTCCTAATGAATAAAAAAAAAAAAACATTTCTTTTATACAATGCTTTCTATATGAAAATATTGTTTACATCATCAGCTTTTTTGTTAAATATATATCAGTTCAAACATTGTAGTAGGAAGTAGTTTAATAGCAGGGTATATAATTTTGTACTGGAATAGACAAAGCTGATGCTGGATAGAATCCCAGCCCAATGTTTTTAGGATGGCCATGAACTTCTTTGGGCAGCTGCACTAGCAACAGTAGTATAAGTAACAGTGGAGTGGAATGAAGGAAAAATTAGCCTTTGATAGGATGTTAGATGGTCCAAAATAAAACCAAGCCAATTAGGTCTGTATCCAAAATGAGGTGTAAGATAAGTTGAAGAGTTTTATTTTATATGAGCTATAGAATGGTTATGGAATATTTTCTTTTATTGTGGAACTCATTGTGATATTTGTGTCTGGTTAATCTTGATTCTTGTTTGATTTAATATGAAACCATTAGCTGCTCCAAGAATTTTGAGAATGACTTTTCAGTTATGTTTTTAAATTTTTTTATTAGTTCTAGATACACTCATCCTACAAGTATTTCCTTTTGATTCATTAGTCAACACTACATGTGCCTCATTCACATAGAAGATAAATAGAGAACAGCCTGTCCTTTTTTGATAATTTTTATAAAAAGATGATACAATAGCAGGGAATAAGATTCAGTGCAAATAATTTAATTATCTATGATTGTGTGCATTTGAGAAATAAAATGCAGGAGATATTTTCTTGTGTGCTCTTTAAACAACAGAAAGCAACTTCATCTGACTGAAGGTTATGTCATGTGTGTGATTCTTTCTTTCTAGGTGCTGCCCCAGTTCCTCCATTGATCTTTGAGATGATCATGGAGCATTTGGAAGAAACTTGCTGGGAAAACATCCATAAAATGCTGAAGACAGAGGAGTCACTCTCCATCGAGTTCGATGAGGATGTTATCTGCGATGTCTGTAGATCGGTAAGCTAAATGCATATTTGTTTGTTATTTTTATTATATTTTCCAAAATTTGCTTTATTTATGATTGTTTATTTATGTCATACAATTGTTAGGAGAATTTCTTTTTCATACATATGTAATAATTTTGAGGTATATGTAAAGTTACTAGTAATAAGAAAATAAAATGTTGTTTTTAAAAGTGCCTATTCGAGTGAACAGAAGGCTATATCATGCTTGCATACACTACTTGAAACCAACCATCATTATGAAGGGGTATAATTGATAGCTTCTTAGTTACCAGTAACGTAAAGAGATGTAGTTGGTATATCTGTGAAGGTCTTCTGTGTTTTTTTCTATATTGTTTTTTATTTTATTTTATTTATTCTTTTCTTAAGGTTCCATACGTAGATATCAGACTATGATGTGTGATCTTTTTCTTTGCAAATATTTTAAAAGAAATATTACATGATCACTGATTGGTAACAGTGTTTAGGGAAGATTCATTCTGTAAACAGTGGCCAGCTGAAGAACCTTCTGAGTATTGTGGTAATGCTGATACTAAGTTCAGCTGTGGGTTTGAAGGTTTTATTTCACTCACACACACACACACACACACACACACACACACACACACACACACACACACACACACACACACTCATCTCTCTCTCTCTCTCTCTCTCTCTCTCTCTCTCTCTCTCTCTCTCTCTCTCTCTCTCTCTCTCTCTCTCTCTCTCTCTCTCTCATCTCTCTCACTCTTCACTCTCACTCTCACTCTCACTCTCACTCTCACTCTCACTCTCACTCTCACTTACTCACTCTCACTCTCACTCTCACTCTCACTCTCACTCTCACTCTCTCTCTCACTCTCTCCTCTCTCTCTCTCTCTCTCTCTCTCTCTCTCTCTCTCTCTCTCTCTCTCTCTCTCTCTCTCTCTCTCTCTCTCTCTCTCTCTCCTCTCTCTCTCTCTCCTCTCTCTTCTCTTCTCTCTCTCTCTCACTCTTCTCATCTCTCTCTCACTCTCCCTCTCACTCTCTCTCACTCACTCACCTCACTCACTTACTTACTCACTCACAAACATAGATTTATTTTAGAACAGATGTATGTGTATATAATCTCCTTAGAGTAATTACAAAGAAATCTAGAATTCCTCTTGTTCTTTTTCAGCCTGACAGTGAAGAGGGAAATGAAATGGTGTTTTGTGACTCCTGCAACATCTGTGTTCATCAAGCTTGTTATGGAATAACTGCCATACCATCTGGCTCCTGGCTTTGTCGCACGTGCTCGTTAGGCATAAAACCTGATTGTGTTCTCTGTCCTAACAAAGGTGAGTCTTGAACTTGGGCCATTTCCAGATAGAAAGTAGGTAGATTGGGTGAGAGCTGACTTGGTTTTGGTGTCCTCAGTGAACAAACTTAGTGATCAATAAACTAAGTAAGCTTTTTCTTCATTAATTCTGCTCTGCATTGTCACTGAGGAAAGACTTGAACCTCCTGGTTCAAGTGATAAAGGCTTATAGTTGACTCTTCTCATGTTAGCTTGTGGAGGGAATGATGTTATAAAAGTTTTTGCATCAACCTGCTGCCAGTGTGGATACAACCTTGAATGGTATTAACCCACTAGCGACGGTACATTTTCAAGGTGAAAATAATATTTTCTGGGTGACTTCAAAATCTGCGCATGGGCGAGTCCGGGAACTTCCCCGTGTGCCACCTGCCACGCGTGACAAAACCAGAGTGCAAGCTCCAATTCAGTGGCACACCTGCGGGACGCCCAGTAATGTTTACTTTTCTGGGTGTCTCATATGTGGGATACCTGTTGTAAGTGGGTTAAAATAGTAATTCTTTCTCCTTTCCTTCTCCTCCTCCACCTCCTCTCTCCTCCCTCTCCTCTCCGTCCTCTCTCCTCTCCCGTCCTCTCTCCTCTCCCGTCCTCTCTCCTCTCCCGTCCTCTCTCCTCTCCCGTCCTCTCTCCTATTCCCCGTCCTCCTCTCCTCTCTTCCGTCCTCTCTCCTCTCCCTCCTCTCTCCCTCTCCTCTCTCTCCTCTCCTCTGTCCTCTCTCCTCTCCTCCTCTCTCCTCTCTCCTCCCTCTCTCTCCTCTCCCGTCTCTCTCTCTCCCCTTCCTTCCTCTCTCCTCTCCCCGTCCTCCTCTCCTCTCCCGTCCTCTCCTCTCCTCTCCTCTCCTCTCTCTTCTATTGTCCCTCCTCTCCCTCCCTCCTCTTTCTCTCCTTCGCTCTCTCTCTTTTTCTCTACTCTGGTCTCTCTCCTCTCCCCTCTCCTTTATCTTCTTTCTTTTCCTCTTCTCTCCTTTCTACTCTCTGCTCTGTTGTCTGTCTTCTCTTCTCTCTTCTCTCCTTGCTCTTCTCACCTCCTCTCTCCTCTCTTCTCTTTTTTCTCCTTCCTCCCCTTTCATGCAATGCAGCAGATTTACATGCAGCCTTGCAACCTTTTTTTGCAGCTAAAAGGTCAGATATTTGTTGGTTTTCACCCTCAATCTTCTTCGGAGTTTCTCTAATCAGAACATCTATGTGAGAGAGATTAAGAATCTCTTAATTAAGAATTCTAAGACACAATTACCATTGCTTGTGCCATCTGTGGTGTAGCATTAGCTTACCTGTGATGGAACCCAGGTTAATGGGGTGCTGGTGTTGTGCCCGTTTGTCTTTCTTGCAGTGGTCATCTCAGTGGTATGGAATCAAATTAGTTTGATATCATGTCAAACAAGTCATTAACCCACTAACGACGGATGTCCCACATATGAGACACCTGAAAAAATAAATGTTGCCGGGTGTCCCGCCAGGTTAATACTGCATCGGTGCTCGCGCTCCGTTGCAGTAGTAGGTTGCGGCCATTGGTTGGACAGTGTCCGGGGCAGCTTCTCCCTCCGATTTTGTAGCCGCCTGGAATCTTTCATTTTCGGCTTCAAAATATACTGGCGTTAATGGATTAATACCTATCCCAAGCAGACCTCTACTGTGTTTTCAAGGAGAGCCTCTATGGTCAAACATGATCCCTGATTGAGTCATGCACATTGGAAACTCATCTTTCTTCTAGTCACGCAAAATGGTTGTGTAGAATCTAGTCATCTAATACAAAGTTGAAGAACAAATATTACTCCTTACTTCAGACAGCCTGTTGAAAATTATTAACCCACTACCACCGGTACATTTTCATGCTGAAAATAATGATTTCTGGGCAGCTTCAAAATTGGCGTACAGGTTAGTCCGGGAACCTGCCTGCGAGCTGGCTGTCATGTGCTCCGATCTAGATTTGTACTGGTGGGACGCCTGGTAATGTTTATTTTTCCAGGTGACTCACATTTGAGACACACCTCACAAGTGGGTTAATTGTTGAAGGAAACATTTACATTATTGTTTAAAGTTGTAGAGTCTGGATCAGACAAAGTGCTTATGCCCAGCATGATCAGGATGTCAAATACTGAGATAGACTAGTAACAAACACCACTTTTTGCTAAACTGCCACTTTGAAAGACCATAAATCACTTTTGAGAGCCATGCCTTGTACAGACACTTAAAAACAATTTTTATACACATGTTACAGTAGGATGCTTTCCTCATTTCATTTTAGATGTTGAAATATCTCAAGGAAAAGGGCTTTGTTATCCTTTTTATTTATAAGATATTGAGATTTCAGCTGATGTGCTGTTTCACTGTCTCTCTCTCTCTCTGTCTCTCTCTGTCTCTGTCTCTGTCTCTCTCTGTCTCTGCCTCTCTCTGCCTCTCTGCCTCTCTGTCTCTCTGTCTCTCTGTCTCTCTGTCTCTCTGTCTCTCTGTCTCTGGCTGTCTCTCTGTCTCTGTCTCTGTCTCTGGCTGTCTCTCTGTCTGTCTCTGTCTCTGTCTCTCTGTCTGTCTCTGTCTGTCTCTGTCTCTCTGTCTCTCTGTCTGTTCTCTGTGTGTCTCTGTGTCTGCCTCTGTGTGTCTCTGTGTGTCTCTGTCTCTGCCTCTGCCTCTGTCTGTCTCTGTCTGTCTCTGTCTCTGCCTCTGCCTCTGTCTCTCCTCTGTCTCTACCTCTGTCTTGTCTGTCTCTGTCTCTGCTCTGCTCTCCTCTGTCTCTCTGTCTCTCTGTCTCTCTGTTTCTCTGTTTCTCTGTCTCTGTCTCTGCCTCTGCCTCTGTCTCTGTCTCTGTCCCTTTCTGTCTCTGTCTCTGCCTGTGCTTCTGTCTGTCTTTGTCTGTCTGTCTGCCTCTGTCTATGTCTTTGATTCTTTGTCTCTGTCTTTGTCTCTCTGTCTCTGTCTCACTGTCTTTTTGTCTTTCTGTCTCTCTGTCTCTGTCTCCGTCTCTCTTTCTCTTTCTCTTTCTCTTTCTCTTTCTCTTTCTTTCTTTCTTTCTTTCTTTCTTTCTTTCTTTCTTCTTCTTTCTTTCTTTCTTTCTTTCTTTCTTTCTTTCTTTCTTTCTTTCTTTCTTTCTTTCTTTCTTCTTTCTTTCTTTCTTTTGTTTCTCTTTTTCTCTTTCTTTCTTTCTTTTCTCTTTTTCTTTCTTTCTTTCTCTCTTTCTCTCTTTCTCTCTTTCTCTCTTTCTCTCTTTCTCTCTTTCTCTCTTTCTCTCTTCTCTTTTCTCTTTTTCTCTTTTTCTCTTTTTCTCTTTTTCTCTTTCTCTTTTTCTCTTTTTCTCCTTTCTCTTTTTCTCTTTTCTCTTTTCTCTTCTTTTCTTCTCTTTTCTCTTGTCTCTTTTCTCTTTTCTCTTTGTCTCTTTCTCTTCTTTTTTCTTTTTCTCTTTTTCCTCTTTCTTTTTCTCTCTTTTTCTCTCTTTTCTCTTTCTCTTTCTCTCTTTTTCTCTCCTTTTCTCTCTTTTTTTCTCTCTTTTCTCTCTCCTTTTCTCTCTCTTTCTTTCTCCTCTTTCTCTCTCTTTCTCTTCTCTCTCTTTTTTCTCTCTCCT